AGGCGTGCAACCTCCAGCTGCCCTCTCCGAGCTGCAATGCACAACGGGGTGCTGCCATCCCGCCTGGCCTTGTCCATGTCTGCATTGGCCTCCAACAAAAGGCGTGAAAGCTCCAGCTGCCCCTCCTCAGCTGCAATGCACAACGGCGTGCTGCCAGCCCGCGTGGCCTTCTCTTTGTCAGCATTGGCCTCAAGCAAAAGGCGCGCAACCTTCACGTGCCCTCTCCGAGCTGCAATGCACAACGCCGTGCTGCCATCCTGCGTGGCCTTGTCTTTGTCTGCATTGGCCTCCAGCAAAAGGCGTGCAACCTCCACGTGCCCTCTCCGAGCTGCAATGCACAACGGCGTGCTGCCATCCCGCCAACCCTTCTCTTTGTCAGCTTTGGCCTCCAGCAAAAGGCGTGAAAGCTCCAGCTGCCCCTCCTCAGCTGCAATGCACAACGGCGTGCTGCCAGCCCGCGTGGCCTTCTCTTTGTCAGCATTGGCCTCCAGCAAAAGGCGCGCAACCTTCACGTGCCCTCTCCGAGCTGCAATGCACAACGCCGTGCTGCCATCCTGCATGGCCTTGTCCATGTCTGCATTGGCCTCCAGCAAAAGGCGTGAAAGCTCCAGCTGCCCCTCCTGAGCTGCAATGCGCAATGGGGTAGCGCCATCCTGCGTTGCCTTGTCCTTGTCGGCATTGGCCTCCAGCAAAAGGCGTGCAACCTCCAGCTGCCCTCTCCGAGCTGCAATGAACAACGGGGTAGCGCCATGCAGCGTGGCCTTGTCCTTGTCTGCATTGGCCTCCAGCAAAAGGCGTGCAACCTCTGTTTGGCCGTGTCTGGATGCCTCGAACAGAGGGGCCGGATTGCCCAAATCTGGGTCTTGCGGTCTTTGTAGCAAAGTCTCCACTGCTGCTGACACGCCACGTCCCGCTGCATCTCGAAGCGCAGTCACTTGATCGTTCGATGGTGGGCAGAAGCTTAGAAGTACGACCTGAACTTCGCCAGGTCTCAGGGTGCCATCGTCATCTAGAACCATCTTGCCATCCAAGCATACCAGCCTTTGCCTGAACCTTGACACGCCGCAAATGCTGTGCAAGCGTTGCTTCAGTGCCCGGACGGGATGCATGCCGGCGGGCTGCGTCTCGAGAAAGCTCGCCAAGTCAAGGGCAACGAGATCTTCACCCGACACGGTCTGGATCCGCAGCATGGCCGATGCCAAGCCGAAGAGAGGTGGACTCCAAAGAACAAGCTTCGCTACATGTGCTCTGTTCTTCAAGACAGGCTTCGGCTGTTGATGCGCGTGCCGCGGCCATAGATTTGGTGGAGGTGTGGCCTCCTCAACGATGTCTGCTGCGCTGATAGTGCAGTGAATGTACGTGAGTTGACAATTAAAATAGGGCTGGTGGACTATTATGCTATAGTTACTATAGTTATATATGATGATGGTATAAGGGCCCCCAAACCCTATGCTAATCGAAAAGCGGTACTATTTTAAGATGTCAAGTCAGGCTCTGCGCTTGGACACCATCGGAGGAAGACTCAAAGCTGCGCTCTGCATCGGCACTACACATCCCGAACCCAAACTCCATCCCCTTACAGGGACCTCCTAAACCCTTTTGGCATCAGGACTTGTGCAATCGCCCTAAGCTCTGAGCAAACGGTGGTTCAGCTCGCATGACTGAACTTCCATACCTTGCCCCTAACTACTAAACCATGAAACTACCCTAACCCTATAAACTCTGTAAAACAAGGATCCCATCCCTGCCCTCTTGGCCTTCTGCTGCAACCAGGGAGGAAGGATGTACCTCTGAGGGGTGTAGGGTTTAGGGGTTTAGGGGTTTAGGGGTTTGGGGTTTAGGGTTTGGGGTTTAGGGCTTTCGGGGTTTAGGGTTTAAGCTCTTGTTTCTAGACTTGCAGAAAGTACGATACGCTACCTCACAACGCAGACAGTGCCGAGCACGAGGGAAGAGGGCTGAGAAAGCCCTGCTTCGGGGCCAAGCAGTACAGGCAGTCAAGGGCCGGGGAGCCCTGGCACGAAGCAGTTTAATCGAGCTCTTCTCGACAAGACACTGAGGGCACTCTGCGCATGTCAGCTCAAACGGCAACTTCATTACCAAAGAATGTTCTGCACAATTAGTTGTCTTCTCATCTTGCTTGCCTGCGTTGTACAGTGGCGTCCCTGCCAAAGCATTATACGGTCTACGCCTACGCACATTGATCTGCTTGGCCAAAGTCTACGACGCCGAAGGAGCACTGCAAAAAGCTGCGTTTTTTGGCACAATGCTGGCCATGGCACTGGCTGCCGTCCCGCAAGAAGACATGTGGGACAAAAAGGTAGACTGCATCCAATGGCCTCCCCATAGGAGCGGTGGGATTAAATTAATATTAATTAAGTCCCAGCAGGTCGCGCTTAGTCACAACATCCCGAGGGGGAAGCTCCGATCCGCGTTTATTCACATCATGTGCATTTAGTCACACCAAGAATAGTGAAGGCCCATGTGCATATGGCCCGGATGTGGGCTTCAGCACAGGTTACGGAAGGAGTAAAATGTCTGCGTACCGTCGGTATTCGGGCCTTGTGTGCGTATAAATGAGCATACATGCCATGAGCCATACAAGCGCTGGTGTTGAGTCGACCAAAGCCACATGAAGCCGGTTAAAGCCACATGAAGTCGCTTCCCCCAGGGTCATGCCTAGATTCGCGTGAAGTCGACCCACATATGCTTTGCCGGTGCTGGCCACTGTGCCACAAGCACTCTCCAACGATCCGAAATACAGATTCAGAACCTCTCTGCTCAGAAGAGCGATCATGGTATCAGTAAAGGAAGCCTTCGACCGGGGACAGGTTAGTGCCATGCTCGCTCTCACTAGCAGCTTCCCCAGCAACCCTTGAAACATAAGTACGCCATGATCATGGGCGAACTTTACGCCAGTCCTGTGGCATGCTACAAGCAGAAGCAAAAAGAAGCAAAATGGATCCCGTGATTGATGGACAACTGGTCGTCCTGCTCTGATTTAGGAGGCTGTCGACGACACGCTCGATCAGCTGAATCCGCGTCCTAGGCAGAGGGATCCGTCGGTCTGCTCAACTCCCCGAACCGTCAGCAGACCTTCGACACGTGTCTTCGCTCTCTTGAACCGGACACCCTCCACCTCCTTCGCACCCCCGAGGCCTTTTTACTGCCCAGCCACTATTTAGAATTAGGAACCGTGTGATGCCTACGTAACAGCTTAAATCGGCCAAGCACGCTTAGTAGACCACCTGGCTTCACAGCCAACGCGCCCCAAATCCTCGTCTTCTCAGAGAACCCAATACCCCTTGGTTAAGGAATATACCTTAAATTAAAGGGGCCTTTAATAATATGATTTAAGGTAGATTCCTTAATTAGGGGGTATTGGGTTCTCTGGATTCCCCTATGCAATCGAGTGGAGACGAGGCTCGGAGTAGTTGTCATCGCGGCCACTACCCGATGGCTGCCCTGCTGGAAAAATGCCAGAAGTTTAGGGTTTAGGGTTTAAGGAAAGGGCCGGGAAAGGGGGGGGGGGGGTCTGGGGCTTTGGGGTTTCGATACTCGCATTCCGGCAAGGCTTCGAGACACACCCACAACCAAACAAGGCATTAGCTCTGAACTCGATGTTTGGCGTTGTAGTTTGGGCTTGCGAGACTGTGGCATCACAGCAACCGCCGCTCTGCAACTACAGACAGCACGGATTGCGCACTCCCATAGCATCCCAGTGCCAGTCCTATCGCAACTCAGAGCCAGCCACTGCGCGCCTGAATGTCTTTCGATCCCAACAAGCGCATCTCCTCGACTATGATGGATGGTATACTCGATTCCAGGACAGAGTGACGACATGGACGCTGCACTGTCAGTAAGCCCAGAGACTCCAAAATCCCTTAATTAAGGAATATACCTTATTAAGTCTTATTAGGGTTCCAATTATAATTTAAGGTATATTCCTTAATTAAGGGGTTTTGGAGTCTCTGGGAAGGAGGGCTTAAGTGCAAGGACCGCACACATGCGCAAGAACGGACATGGCTGTATAGCGACTCCACTGGGCAAGGCCTTGCCTTCTGTACTTTCGTGCTGCGCTCACCGAAGGCACCGAAATCGAAAAAGCCTCAAACGCCTCCGTCACCAAAGAAACACCACAGTTTCAATGAATTGCGACAGCGCTTCAATCATCAACCCTACACTAAACTCTCTCTCTCTCTCGCTCTGGAGGTCCAGGGCGCGTCCAGCCCTGAACCTCGCGCACGAAAGCGCACCCGCAAAACTAAACTCTCTCTCCCTCTCTCTCTCTCTCTCTCTCTCTCTCTCTCTCTCTCCCTCTCTCTGTCTTTGTCTCTCTCTTCTCAGGCCGGCACTTGCATCAGCTGGCGCTCGCGAGGGGAACCCCATGATTTGCTGAAGAAGATGTCCTGCCGGCTTCTCTGGGGGGCAGAACGGGATACAGCCTTACGGTGACAGTGTCGCCAAACTTGTGCAGCTGTGCACTGACACTCAGAGGCACAGAGTTCGCATCACCAGACCGACCAGAAATTAGATACCAATATCCGGAGCTCTCGCACACTTGACGACCTACCCTACCGTAAACTAGTTCTCATGAATGCATGCCTGTCGTTGCAAATCTGCACCTATTTCACCGAGTCTTCAACATAACTACAAATATTGGTGCGGCGCTGCCTGCTGCAGCGTCTTTTCCGCATTGGGCGCAGCCAGCCTCTCGGTGCTGCCTATCGTGTTAAAATCGCATGTACATGTGTGAAGTGTACGGACGATCGTATGATACTTTGGCTTTTGCACCAGCCTCGAAACCCTAAGCCACTCTAAACCCCTTTTTGAAACCGGACTTTACCCTGAACCCCTCTAAACCCTAAGCCCCTCTAAACCCCCAAGCCTAAACGCAACAACGCCCCGCTTGCGCGCATGACGACCTGCCTGGAAGCCAGGACAAGTGCCAGCAAGAAGCAGGCCGGAAGCTTCGGGGTCCAGCGAAGGGCCTCACCGACTATATCCATAGGCCCCTAAGTAGTTCCTTTTTATGGTCTATACTTAGAATCCTATAAGGTAATCCCAAAACGGAACTACATAGGGGCCTATGGGTATCTATCTGTATCTATCTAATATAAGGGCCTTAATAATTAGAATAGGGTTTGGGGGCCCACTATACTATGTTTATAATAAGGAAGCCCAATAAAATGGTATTAGGTAGTTGTTTAGGCCCCCGTATCTGTCTGTATCTGTCTGTACCTATCTATGTCAACCTGCCGACCTACCTCTTTGCCTACCGACCTAGCTAGCTAGCTGAATGAAGTGCCCCGCTTCAGGCATCTTTTGTTTGTCTCTCTGACAGTTTATCATCTATTATACCCCTTTTGAACGAGGTCTCTCTGAAGTGCCTCCATCTATTATACCCCTAAACCCTAAACCCTTATACTTATCTATTTATTGGTTTATGTATAGGGGATCATAGGGCTTGGGGCAAACCAGGAAAGGACCGGATCCCCAAATTGCAACACGAAGCCCCTCCCTCAAAAGCAACATGCTTAGACAGTATCGATCACACCCAACGCATAGGCTCCTAAGTAGTTCCTTTTTGTGATTCATATTTAGAATCCTATAAGGTAATCCCCAAAAAGGAACTACTTAGGCGCCTATGGGAACGCACACAGTTGGTTGGAACAGGAAGCCCGCGCTGCTGCAGGCAAGCCTACGATAGCGTAGCAAACTGAGGGAAAGCGCACTCTTTGTCGAGCAAGCCGCGTCTGCCAGCATGGTGCCAGTCACACATGGCGGAGCAAGACGTTCTCAAACAGTGTTGTCATGTAGTCGCATGAAAACGAGCAACTCAAGTAACTAAGGAACTGTGGGCTATATAAGATCCTGTGCTTCTGCACGTCTGTGCATCAGGGGCCTGGCATACAGCTAGCTGCTAGCTCGAGCTTTCCATGTGGCCATGTCAGGTCCTTTTGTGCCGTGGATAAGTTTTGGATGCTGCCTAGGGCCTACAGCCACTGCGAGCAAAACTGCTCTGCCATTCCCTGCCCTTGACGCACGAATAAGGCCTAAGGCCCCCAAGCATAAGACGCGCAACTCCCCTCGCTCAATCTTCAATTGTTGTTTCCCGCGGCCTCCTAAGCATGCTTGTCCAAGGGCCACGGATTCTGTCACCTGACCCTGCTCACAACTCCAGGGACGAAGAGCGCACAGTTGAAGATGCGCTTCTGACTCTGCAGTGCAGTCCTTCCTGAACCTCTTATCCTGAGGTTGGACACCTAAACCCTAAACCCTAAACCCTTAAACCCTAAACCCTAAGCCTAAACCCCAAACCCTAAACACTGAGGTCGGACCAGGACTTGGTCATGCAGGCCACTGCACCTTTCGCTGGACTAGACAGCTCGCGCTGCAAGGCTCGAACATGCAGACGCATACCATATAAGATACCATCAAAAACCACAATATCCTTTAATAGAACAGAAATTACATACTAGAACAGCACTATAGCACATTGAGCACACTGTAACTTACTCTGATATGATCTACGATCAGCCACTCATCGCATGCGCTGCTGCGCTGTGCGCGACGTTAGAGGCGTGCAGTGAAAGAATCGGTGGCCCTGGAGCGCTCGCTGGCCACACGGATCCGTCCTCGTGGGCGAGGTTTGCTTGTAGATAATTATTACAGCAGGTAGTGGTACATTATGGTGTACACATATATACATATACATGTACATGTACATGCATACACGCACATACAGTGGGAGAGAGACAGAGAGAGCTTAAGTGTTGTACACCATATTATGATATACGATGGTATATTAATTAAGTATAGTGTAGTAGACCATGTTCTAGTATACTATAGCATATTCTGGAATACTGTAGGAGTAGTAGATCAAACGGTAGTGTGTTCGTGTTTCTTGACTGTAGCATGTTTTCGTATGCCTTAATTAGTAGATTGTACGGTACATGGGGTGCTACAGTGCCGAACTACGACCTGGCGAAGTCTCTAAGTTGCTCCAGCCTGGTCTTACAAGTAGGGCCTGGGATGGGCCCTGGCTCAAGGAGTCGGTGCTAACGCGCGACAAAGGTGACTGTCCTTTTGCCAGGAGCCGGGGGTCGGGCTGCGTCCGCTGAACCCAAACATCCAGGGCAAGTGGCTCCTTGCTGGGGGCCAGAAAGATCCCGAGCTCATCCAGCGCATGCGCCTCGGCCAGGTAAGTGATGGCCAGGGCCTCGGTGTGACCGGATGCGAGTCTTCGCAGCTCCGGTGGTGCCTTGGTATCTGAGATCAGCTCTTCCCGGGCATCCTCGAAGAAGCGCGCCTGAGCCGAGTGGTTGGCGTGCTTGTTCAGGTCCTCGTCCGAGAAGCGCACCGAAGCCCTGGTCCGGTAGGCGTTCGCAGGCACCTGGTCCGGAACGGAGCGAGATAGCTCTGCAGGAGATGCATCGAGTCCCTCAGCCGCCAAGGCTTTCAGATCCTCCGGAACAGGAGTTGGAGTGAAACTCCCCGGAGGCCCCGTTGCGAAAATCATTACAGTGCAACCATCTGCGACCTTGTCGGCCTCGAAAAAAATCTCGTAGCGGAACTCCATTGAAGTCTTGCCCACCTTGCCGATACTGACACGGGTAAGGACCGACCGGTGAAGTCCCTCAGACAGCGCTGCGGGCCGGATGATTCGAAGCCCTTGAGAGGCCACCAAGAGCCGTCGCGGTAGCTGTGGCTCTACGTGGGATAGATTTTTATAGCCAGCTTGCAGCCATGCGAGCTCCATGCGAGCAGCTTGCATCCACTTGAAGAGGCTGCTTGTAGACACACAGAGGTTGCGATCCAAATCCTGCTGGTTTAGTCGCTGCACCAGGTACTCATGCTCCCGCTCTGTAACGTCAAAGGCATAGGCACTGCCGGACACCTTGCCTCGAAACATCATCCCCGACCATGCGCGAGCACGGGCACAAAAGCTACAGTAAGCAGGTTGGGTCGGATGCGATACTGCCTATGATGTCTGTCTCAGCCCCACAGCTTCGGAGCCTTCCTGAATTCTGAATGTCCACGAACAGGCATGGGATTCTACAGGGGGTCTGCTACATTAGCTATGCATCAAGAAGGCTCGATGTTTTTCTACGTGCCTCGTCCTGGTTTCAGCCATGGTCCGTGCAAGAAAATAAGACGACATATATATATATATGATATGTGCAAATGCATGAATGCATGTGATGCGATACGAGTGCAGTGGGGTGGACTAAAGTGGCGTGACATAATGCATCGTATGAATTTAGATCTAGTGGACTCATTTCGGGATAAAGTGCTTTTCCATCCGCGCCGCAAGTTTCAGCAGGCGTCAGCTCGGCCAGCTGCGCGAACCGCAAATGCTGCGCCAGAGACAGCAAGATTAAAAGCTTTCTGGTGCGCCTGATGTTCAGGGCACCTGACAAGCGCAAGCTATCCTGCAAAATACGTCCAGCCCGTGCGTGTCTGTGAAGCCATGAATCATTCGATTGGCTGAGATGGCATCGAAGCGATGGCCATGTCAAGCCAAGCAGGCAGCTCTTCTGTGAAAGGCAGTGTCCAGGACTCTTTGCTGCCTGACCAACCTACTGCTGGTGCACACTGCTTGGCGCAATAAACCTGTACGAAGCATACTCAGTCTACTACGATCGGGCCTCTCGCATGCCTGACAGGGTTTAGTCCGGAGTGAAAGTAATGCAGAGCTGTGGCATTGGCACCGTTAATCGTTGTACCAACACATGAGCTACTGCACTCCGTCAACCTGCACACGAAAAAATGGGTGGTAAAAACTAGACGCTGCATGCACAAATCAATATTACTTAACTAGCAGGCGCATTCAGAAACATGCAAGAACATGTGCATGTTTCAGCACATCGATCGATCTCTCTCTCTCTCTCTCTCTTCCTCTCTCTAACTCTCTATGTATGCATGTATACATACATGTACATATATATATATACTGATCTATCTATCTATCTATACCAAAAACATTGGATGGATGGAGGGCGGGAGGGAGACGCAAACAGAGACAAACAAAGGCATTGTCTGGTCATCTTTGATTGCATAATGCTTGTATATGTATGGACTACAGCGAGGGAGCGCGCACCAGTCCTACCGAAAGGCACGAGATACCGAACGGCCTCCCATGCGTTCAACGGATGTATCCGGTGTTGGACCTTTGGAGTCTTCCGGGTACCCACAACCCAAAACCCTAAACTTGGCCCATTGGCTTTAAGCACTTATGGTTCGCTAAACCCTAAACCCAGCTTTAAGCGGTTTATGGTTTCGGCACTCTAGGACGGGGCTTTTGATGCCTCGGTTTCTCAGGAGGTCTGAAGCTCTTAGGGTCTCATGCTGTCAAGCAGGGTGCGTGGCTCGAGGGCTTTGGAGTTTGGGTGTTCAAGGCTTATACTAAACCCTAAACCCTAATATAAGGGCTAAGGGTGAGAGGGCTTTGGGGTTTGTGCGTCGAGCAACGGGCCGACTGAGTTCAAGGACAGCGCACACACGCGCCTTCGGTGGATGCCGCTGATACAACTGGATCTTCATTTTTGTAAACCCATAAACCATACAGCAACCTGCAATTCGGTACATGTTAACTATTGCGGCCACATAGACACAAAACAATGAAAGATCCGAAATACGAAAGCCCCGAACGTGCATGAGCGACGGCACAATTTGCTAGATTCGGAAGCGGCAAAATCGATTCGAGAACGAACTCGGTGTGCGCGCGCGGACGGGGCTCGAGGGAGAGCTGTCTAGGTAACATACTGACCTGCCTACTCTTAGCACAAGAACCCAACTCCTCTTGTGGACTTGAAACCAAGAAAGTAATCTTGGAAGGCCCTCATAAAACACTATCCCTGAAGCCTAAACTGGGCCTAAACCCTGAACCCTAAACCCCGAAACCCTAAAATATCCCTGAAGCCTAAACCCTAAACCCAATAAAACCCCTACGCAGACTCCAGATCCCCATTTCCTAAGCAAGGAGCTGCTTTGCAAGCTCAGGCGAGGCAATGCCCAAGCTCCAAGCTTCGGCCCGAGGAGTAACCGAGTAGGTGTGTGTGTACGTGTGTATATATACATACATACATATATATATATATCTGTGTGTGTGTGTATATGTGTGATGGATGGATGGATGGATGGATGGAGGGAGGGAGGACTTGAAGCATCTGGAAACTTGCTTCTCCACCCATAGCCCAAACGTGTGCAAGACTTGTCCCATCTTTCGGATCCCGATTAAAGCAGCAAGGCTATAGGGTGTAAGAACTGCAAAAGTCTGCAAAACATTCCGGTGTCCTATGCTTCCGTGGGATGCCTCAGGTCTCTTTCAAGAAACCGGACATCAAGCTTCGAAACGACAAGCGGTAGACAGTGATCTTTATTTCAATCTCCGTTGCGTGGCGTTCCTTCCTTGCCCTACCGATCTTACCCGAACCCCTAAACCCTTACACCCTAACTCATCATTAGGACCCCTATGGTGATAGGCTGTAGGGCATTGCCGAAGTCGGAGGATTTGGGAAAGCCTCCGTCGGGCACTAAACAAGCTGTGAGACATCACGACCTCGGAAACTAGGAGATCGCGGGTTTCTCTTTTCGGGGAGTTGAGATTCATGTAGGGGGCCTTGGTCATTAGAATAGGGCTTTGGGATCTTTATAGCTCGATTTTTGGGTTCAGGGTTTCCAGGAGTTTAGGCAGCATGTGGACCCGTTGCAAATGAAGCACGATGGGGTCCCTACGGTTGATGGTATACATCCTGCATTACCCATAATAAGGAATATACCATAATTCCCGTAGTTCAGGGTCCTTAAGGGAATGCAGGATTTATATCATCACCAGTAGAATCATGGATCCTGCTCACACTCCCAGCAGACGCCTGCCCATCTGTAAGGTGCACATGAATACCACTGAGTGTGCTACAATGGACAAACGACACCAACTGCTCCCTGCGTGCTTTGGTTGGGGACCGATCCCTTAGTCAGTTGATGTGGCGGACAGGGCTATCTCCAGTGAACTCGCGAGTATCCCCGAGCGAATTCTACCTGAAGATCTTCCGAGTGCGAGGTGCCCGGCGGGTTTGCCTGGGGCTCTGGCATCGCTGTGAGGGAATTCCTGGGCTCAACTGCGCTACAACGCAGACTCAACTCGCATATCCTAATGTAGGGGCCTTAATAATTAAAGTCGTATCATACTATAACTACAATAAGGAACCCCTCACGGTCCGTGTTGGCAGATGGAGGTCACCAAGGCTTCTGTCTCTTTCCCCTTCGAGTCTAGCATCGAAAAGCTAAGGACTGTCGGTCTTGCAGATTCTCTCCTTCAGGCAGGGCTTAAGTTTTAGGCATGTCTTGTTCCTTAGGGTTTGAGGTTGCCTTTTCTGATCCTACAGACCTCTCTGATGGCATTGCTCCAGGCAGCAGGTCTCGCCTTAGACCCTCCCAGGGACTGCAAAGAGAGCCGCTTCCGGAGCTAAGGCTGACAGTAACGGTTTAGGGTTTAGGATTTAGGGTTTAGGGACATGAACTGCAGATCAAAACAACCACAAGAACAGCCCTCACGCGTTCCCACCGAACGTCCTCGCTTAGATGGCAAAAGACGTAAGATAACAATGCCGTGAAATGACATCAAATATGGTTTCGCCATCCCATTCAATCAACACCTGCTGCACCCTGCGCACACTGGGACGAGGGACACTTCGCGGCGATGATGTTGCTGCCCAGCCCAGCAAAATCTGTATCCACTACCCAGCCTGGGAAGAAATCACGAGAGACGAAGCTGCAGCACTGGAAACCACTTGTTGACGGCGATTCTAGTGAGGACGTCGGAGGGAGGCTCCATTGGCCATTGGTGGCTCTGTTGACACCAACTGCCTTTTGTTGGGTCAGGACCCCTAAACCCAAAACCCAAAACCCAAAACCTTGAACTCTTGCAGTTCTCTTCCCAGGTGTGTTTCAGCTCCAACCTCAAGGATCCACGAAGCCGAGGAGCGCATGAGCTTCAGGAAGTTGTGGAAGTTCAATCTGCCTGAGATTGGGAGTTCGGATTAGGGGGACCCCCAATGGGGAGGGTTTAGGGTTTGGGGTTTAGGGGTTTGGGGTTTAGGGGTTTAGGGGTTTAGGGTTTAGGGTTAGGATTAGGGGGATGCTTGGGGACATAGACCCTCTCAATACGGTCCCTTCTAAGAGAGCCAGAAGTAGGGGGCCTCAGAAGGGGCTTTTTTAAGGGGTCTCTCTGATACAACGTAGCAGAGATAGAACTCTAGATTCTGAGGCAAAAATCTGCTAACCCGGCATTTGACCATCTTGCCTCCACAATGACCTACTTTGCCACCTCTTTTCCAGGTTCATACTGTAAACGTCTGTAAACCCTAAACCTGGCCCAAGAAAGCTTAGAAATGCTTCCGACTAGAGGAATCTCTAGAAGCCTTTCTTGGTGTTGTACATCTTTGCACACACATGGCACGCCAAACACCGGAAGCTCCAAGCTGCGGAAGCCCTCCTGAAGGGGCTCCAAAGCCGAAAGCAGCACGCTCATTCGATGGCCGGCCTCATCTTCGAAGCGTTCTGGTCTGTAGGGTTTCCGTACCCTTCGAGCCGGGAGACAAGTTTTCCATGCAACTTTTGGCTTTTAAGGATAGGGCTTTGGAGTGTAGCCTTTAGGTTTACGAGTTTACGCTCTCACGACTCGGACAGGCCAGAGGGTCCAAATGGCACACGACTCTCTTAGGGGCTCAGAAAGTTGAAGTGGCAAGCCTGCACCAGCTCGACACTCGCGAAACTCGGGAGCGGTGGAACGCAAGAACATTTTGGACTCCTGACCCTGAACCTCAAGCCGTAAGCCCTGACACTCGAGAACCTGACTGTCAACTCCAGTTTAAAGCCTCCGAGTTTAGGGGTTTTTTGCCTCCCGATTTGTGT